GCGGAGGTGGGCGAAGGTGGGCGGGGGTGGGCGGAGGTTGGCGGAGTCGGACGGAGGTTGGTGGAGGTAGGTGGGTCGGACGGAGGTTGGCGGAGTCGGACGGAGGTTGGCGGAGGTAGGTGGGCGGAGGTTGGCGGAGATGGGCGGAGGTTGGCGGAAGTGGGTGGAGGTAGGTGGGCAGAGGTGGGCGGAGGTAGGTGGATGGAGGTGGGCAAAGGTTGGCGGATTCGGGTTGAGGTTGGCAGAGGTGGGCGGAGGCGGGCGGAGGTTGGCGGAGTCAGACGGAGGTTGGCGGAGGTGGGCGAAGGCTGGTGGGCAGAGGTGGGCGGAGGTTGGCGGAGATGGGTGGAGGTTGGCGGAGGTGGGCAGAGGTAGGTTGGCAGAGGTTGGCAGGATGGGCGGAGGTTGGTGGAGATGGGCGGAGGTTGGCAGAGGTGGGTGGAAGGAGGTTGGTGGAGATGAGCGGAGGTTGGCGGAGGTGGGCGGAGGTAGGTGGGCGGAGGTTGGCGGAGATGGGCGGAGGTGGGCGGGGCTGGGAGGAGGTTGGCAGAGATGGGCGGAGGTTCATGGAGGTGGGCGGAGGTAGGCGGGCAAATGTTGGCGGAGGTAGGCGGAGGTAGGTGGGTGGAGGTTTGCGGAGATGGGTACGTTGTAGCTTTGTTTGTCGGGTACCGTACGTCTTTGTAGGTCTTTGTCGAACAGGGTAGGGTTTTTGTTGCATAGGGCGGGTCGTAGAACCGTTGGGGTACTGTAGGTCTTTCTCACCCTCCAGTCAGTCGGCTGCAACAGGCCAACGACCTGGGCCTACCGGGTAGCTATCTTCACCACGGGCTGATCGAGTCCGCCCGCTGTCCTACCAGGCCGACGGCTCGGATCGACCCGCAATCTTAAGATTTCAGATCGCGCGAGGATCCAGGATGTTTCGCTGGCTCGACGGTCCGGATGTTCGCACGATCTTAAATTCTGGAAGTCTTAAGATCACGTGAAGATTCGGACCGTCGGACTAAGCGGCCCGGTGCTTATTTTTCTCACGTTAGTGATTTTAACAAATGTAGGGATAACAATAAAAATCCAAATCATAAAAATTTAATTACCTTGGCAAATGACACATCGGCAAGGGTTAAGACATAAGGGCGAAAAAACACAACCAACCTAGACCTCGGACTAACACTCAACAGTAGTCGTAACAATATATATATATATTTATCTTAAATCACTATAAAAAAAACCATAGGGTGAAAACATAAGCAAACGCAACCTTACCACCAATAACAACCCTAAATACTAAAGGGCACATCTAACTAAACTTCTTGAAACAAGGGTGAAGACCTAGGTTACCTGGTCAGACGTCAGAACCCCCCTTGGTTGGTCAACCGGTCCGACGTCCTCCCGGGGCAGTCTGTCCTAGCTCGAACCACAAAAAAAAAAAAAAAAAAAAAACGAAAACAAACTATGTTATGCAGAAAAAAAATGAACAACGTTTTCGCTGGGATCACATCGAAATTCTTTATGAAATTGAAAATAATAAATAAAATTAAAGACACCTTCAATTTTTATTTTTTTTTCGTGCTTTAAACTGATAAAATCGGAGTTGTCTGCGCCTTGACGTCCGGGACCCCCCTAACTGTCCGGCCAGGACGTCCTGCCATCGAACAATTGGTAATATAGGTGAAAACTTACTTAAGTTTAGAAAGACCTGCCTAAGCACCAAGGACTGGGTCTATGGCAACAGGGTCTAAACTATTACATCGAGGCTCCACAAGAAACTACAATAGGACGTACGATACCACCGACAAAAAACGATCATGCCAAGACCAACCACCATTCAAGGACCTTTTAGAGCACCAAAGACAAACTTCAAGTTTAAAAAACCTAGACCTAAAGAGAAAACAAAACTGCAAGGACATGACTAGAGCACAACCAACCTAAACCCAGACCCCGGAGCCAGACCCAAATCTAAACTAGCACTCGAAACCAGCACCACAGTACACAACATTGACATCGACACAAACAAATCATGAGATGGTACGACCAGAAAGGAGAACCAACCTAACTAAAAGCCGACCTAAAAAACGAAAGAATTGATATGAAACAACAAAAGACCAGACATAGTGGTACAAGCTCGACTTTTATTCCGAAGAAGCAGCCTAAGCATCAAGGATCAAGCCTTAAAGTCAAGGAATCAGTCATATGGAAGCTAGAGTCGTCCTGCAGCGTCAAGAGCCGTGCTAAAAAAAAAGAATACGAGCCTTAAACATCAAGTCAAGATACTAATCCAAGACTCGTGCATGAAGGACCATCTCCGAGCACCAAGGACAGACTTTGTGCCTCAAAACCAGATGCAAAAATTGGAAATTCAAGGGTTATACTGTTGATGGACCAAAAAACTACAGAAATGGTAAGGACCTAGGACCCCGAGCTACAAGGACGACGTCGTGAGCAATACGTAAAGACCAACAACACACTAAATATTTCTTACATTAACACAAAGGAACCATAGACCAAAACATCAATGAAAAGGACAATCCTAACCACTAAGAACCTCGACCTCTAACTCGATTGTCTAAATCATTCGTCGCAGACAAACAACATATTTCACACCAGTCAAATCATCATAAAGAATTATGGGACGACAAGACAACTAAGGAAGATTAGCCTAGCCACCGAGAATGAACATTAATACTGGAGGATTGACTTGAGGATCCAGATAGAGTGACAAATGATTCATTTAGATTCTGCAGACCAGGCCTCCTGTGCATGAACAATCGATTCCAAAAATCGAAGGATCAGACTCATGACAACACGGACCGACCTGTTGTGTACAAGGCCCGACCAAAGCAGCAAGACTAAGGCTGCCTCAAACACCGAAGATAAATCACTAATCCAATGAATAACCCTGAGCAATGAAGGATCAACCATCATCCCAAGGATCATACCAAATCATAAAAAGTCGCCACAATGATCAATACTTCGAAAAACAAGGCCAAGAAACTAATAAAACAAGTCTTAGATTCTAAGGATAAGGCCACACAACGAGCAGTAAAAATCTAGATCTCACACTACAAGGACGGGGTGATAACCAGCACTCAAAGATCAACAACACACTGGACGACGTTTAGATTAAGACAAAGATACCATGAGGCAAAAACAACATCAAGGAAGATAATCCTAACCACGAAGAACCAGGGATTGGAAACCCTACCAAAGTCTAAACCAACACTCGACATCCAGTTCCATATTACACATCTCTCAAATCCTCACAGACAACTAATTTATTGAAAAAAATGAGCAAAGGACAAACGTAAGAACTCAAAGACTACATAAAAAAAACGAAAATAAGGCCAACAAGTTCCAAGGACAAAGCCAAAGCACGACCGACCAAGACATAGACCCCGCACGACAAAGACCAAAACCGAACCAACACTCGAGAATCAACACAGTTTACACAAGACTCGAATCAATAGAAAGAAACCATGCTATCTAATAAGCAACGAGTAAAAGTCTAACCAACAAGAACCAATATACATACGGCCAGACTGACCTTAACCAAGAAGAGATCAGACAAAGAGTCCAAGGACCCACTCAGATTCTGAGGGCCAGACTAAGCATGAAGCAACCCGCTTTAACACTGAAGGACCAAACCGATGACAATAATAATCGGCGTGGAATGTTGAGGGTCAAGCTAAAACAACAAGAATTTTGCCTAAAACACCAAGGACCAACCAAAAACACTGAAGGGCTTGGAATGTCGAGGGTAAAACTAAAACAACAAGAATTTGACCTGAAACAACAAGAATTTGGCCTGAAACAACAAGAATTTGGCCTGAAACACCAAGGACTAGCACTAGGAATCATAACCAGGTCCAAGAACTTCAAACCAGACCCGACACTCTAACGATTATGCCAAAGCATAACTAGTCATAACCTAGGCCCATAATTGCGAGGACCATGTCAAAACTAACATTTGAGGACCAACACCACAGAAACCATGAAACAAAATCATGGGCAACGAGGACTAACCTAACCACAAAGACATGACACAAACATTGTATGATTGACCTACATTAACGGTGGACAAGAAAGGATGGCGAAGGACCAAACCAGCTTTACAAGGATCAGCCGAAGAGCCAGGAACTGAGCCTAAAAATAAAAGGACCAGGCCTGTGGCAATAAGGACCAACGTACAATATTGAGGGTCCTGCAAAAACAACAAGGATATGGCTTAAAATACGAAGGACCAACCACTATTCTACGAACCACGTCGACACTTAAGGAGGATCGAACACCATTCCTATGACCATGGTAAAGCACCCGGGGGAACTCTACGAGTCAAAGACTAGGTCCAAAGCCAAAAAAACAGACCCCAGACATTAAGGACCGAAGCATGGCATAACCAATAAGTACCTATATGCCTTACAACGAGAACCAAGTCCGGACCAACACTAGAGGATCAACACCATGTTTATAAAAAGTTTAGGTAAAAGATGAGACATTCATAGCCGGAATCGTCAAATCACTCACCTTAAAACAACTAAAAAGTTATTGAAAAAATATTGTACGAACAACGAGCGGTACATTTTTCCTCGGGCTAGGCTACCTGAGTGGCATAGGATTACTTGCCCGCCCACGAAAAAAAATAAATAAATAAAACAATCATTTTTTATTTGATTTTTACGTTAATTTCGATAAGGAATTTTGATGTGACCCTGATGCAAAAATTGTTTTTATTATTTCTCCACAAAACATAGTTTTTGCGGATTTTTTTGATTTTTTTTTTTTTTTTTTGAAACTTGGACTTTTTTTTCTGCTAGGACATCACATCCTTACACAGCCAGGCCGCCTTGGAAAACAAGGTGACCCGGTCGGCCCGGTTGGTGACCTAGATTTCGAGAATGAAAAACACATAATAGAACTCACCCGAAAACACCTTGCGAAGTTCACACCTCACATGCTTTCCTCTTACCACGCAGCGTGCATCCTTAAGCGTCTGCTCAAGTTTAACAGCTAAATACGAAAAAATAAAGAAACCCACACACAAACAAGCTTCCACAATGCCTGCTCAGACAAACAATTATGCAAGAGAGAAACTTGTAAAGTAGAAGTGTCATTAAAAAAACATAAAAGTACGAACTTCAAAATGAGTTTTAAATTTCATTACTCAATGATAAGAGGTTATCCAACGTATGTTTTTGGGTCGAAGAATCATACCCAAAGATCCAAATAAAACTCATGAAAATAACCAATGAAAATGTCAATGCACGAATTTCAAACACGAGGAGATTGCAAAAGAAAAGGGGAAAACAAAAAATATACCATTTATATGACAACTGTTTCCTAAGTAAAGACGATGACAGTAACAAACAAAAAATAATAAATCATCAATATCTTGTTAATGTGCCTAAAATACTGTAATACACTTCTCCATATCATCAGCTGAAAATTTTATAAAATTTTCATTTACGAAAGCTCCACGAATATTTCAAGCAAACTCTCAAAGAAGAGTTCAATCAGATTGTCTATCTAACGGTCCAAGTATAAGTTAATTACTTCGTCGAAAATCACGGAAGACCATTCAGGTGCACCAACGTTCCCTTCTGGCTACTCGACCGATTAGTGAGAGGCGGCTCCATAGTGACTTGCCATGAAAAAGAGGGATGGACAATATCTTCACAACACTCTGGTAGTGCTGAGACAACAA